TGAATAGATGTTTCACACCTACCTTTTGTGCTCAATGCCATAAATCATCGTAAATTTTGCATAAACAAAAGTAGCAGTTTCCGTACAACGGTCGTTTTTATGCGTTTTCGCCTATATGCGAATTGCAAAAACGCATATAGCGACAATCCTGTCTGGGTGTGTATGTGTGTGTGTGTGTGTGTGTTCGTCTGTTCAGGTATTTCAACTCGGGAACCAAGCAAACTCCGGCGTCAAAATTTTGCCATTTGGTTCCCTAGCCAGGTGCCACCCCGGGGCCGTGGTGCCAACCTTCACGCAGGTCTGGCCCCGCGTAGGAGGGGTCAAATTTTTGGCGGGAAAAGCGCTAACCGAAAACCAATAAAGCTAGAAAGCTGAAATTTTGAGGTTATTTCCCCCGTCTATATAGAAATCAAAGATTTCAAATTCAACCACCAAGTGTGCGTGGTTCCCGCGTATGACCCCATGCTGATCTTTGGCGCGAAAATCGCTAATTTAGGAGCCAGAAAGGCTGGAAGGCTGAAATATTCAGAGAGTGTTCTTAGCACATATACAGCTTGAACTTATCAAATTCAGCCCCTGGACATCCGTGGTTAACACGTACGGCCCAGCGAAAGTTTTTGGCGCGGAAATCACTAACTCGGGAACCAGAAAAACTGGGAAGCTGAAATATTCACGGAATGTTCCCATGTACGACTTAAATTTCAAACTCATTCCTCGGACATGAGTGATTGTCACATGCGGCCCCGTGAAAATTTTTAGCAGGAAAATTGCTAACTCAAGAACCACTTGGAAAGCTGAAATTTCAACGAAATTTTCCCTGTCCAAATACCGCCTAGATAATTATCTTCCCGAACTTCGACGACCAATATATCACACGTTTCTAACTACTGGGTTTCCGAGCGACCTCATTACGGCACAAAATAGTGCAAAAACGCTTGATCGCACTGGTCCGCCCGGTGCGCGTCGCTGATGATTTTAAAAAACCGAACACTTATTTCAGGCAGTGGGAAAAGTTTGCGTGGCGTGCCGCTGGGCATACCACTGGGTGTTCCATTACCACTTGGCGGCATTGGTGGCCTATCATGTGGTGTTTTTGCGGCACCAGTGAATGGAATCGTGACATACAGTACTGGCTCAGTAATTGGACCCTTTCCGGCCGGAACAGTCGCAACAATAGTATGCAATCCTGGTTTTACTCCAATTGGTATTACCTCATCCACATGCATGAATGGAGTTTGGTCACCGTCTTTACCTGGACAATGTGTCGTTGGCGGCATCGGTGTTGGTAATTACTTAGAAATTTATTAAATCTTCATTTGAAGCAATTCAGCGACAGACAAAGCACACTGCTTTTTGTGAATTAGTCAACGGAATTATTATTATCGTTAATTAACCAACAGCATCGAGTAAGACTGCTGGAATTGTCAACACGAAGGTCCCGGATATATGCGCAGTGAGAAGCGGCACTATTATTGGGAGATTATCATTAACAGTGTTGTGTTGCTGATGATAATAATGTCGGCTGCAATAATCATTAACAGTGTTGTCGTTATTTTTATCCTAGTCGAGAAAGTAGCTCGAGAGAACGACATTATTCAAAACGAAACAGTATTCTTGAACACACGCACCAAGGACATCTCGAAACAGTCAAAGCTTTGATAAGTGCTTTTGTCGAGAGAGCCTTTGAGCTGTTTATCCTTCTTAGAGACAGAGTGGACGTCAGGGTCTCCAGGAGGCTGACCATCAGATCGCAGCACCGGTTAAAGTATCAGCTGCACAGTTAAGAATCAGCGCTGAGAGTCGCAGATAATCAAAGCAAAGCAAGTACCATTGTACTTATTTCTCATAAATTAAATACTCGGTATTGTCGATACTGCAATGTCCCAGTTCAGGAGCTAAGTTATCGTGAGAGGCAGACATTCATTTATTTACTTATAAGCGGCATGTAGGACGTCACAACCTAGCATAAAGATAAAATTCGATGGACAGAAAATGCTTATCGTCTCATTGTTCAAAGGTGGGCACTGGGCATCAGCGAGTGATTGCCAGTAAGAAAGAGATTGACAAAATATGTAATCTTTGAAGAGGTGACGAAAGTGCTTCAAAGATAAAGCGAACGGTGAAAGCGTTAAGGGAATTGGCATGACTGCATTAGTCTTATGGTGCCTCATTTTGCGGTCCTGGTTTGCTCTAATGCATCACCCTTAACGACTTTATGTTTTGTAAAATTCTTTTTAGGTGGTATTGGTGCACCACTTGGCACACAACTTGGCATACCATTTGGTGCACCACTTGGTGCAGGAATTGGCGCACCATGTGCACCCCTCCCTGCGCCAATAAATGGACAAATATCCTACTCGAATGGTCTTGAAATCGGGCCATTTCCATCCGGTACCACAGCTACCGTTGTGTGCAATGAGAACTTCGTAGCCAATGGTCTTACGTCTGCAACGTGCATCAATGGAGCGTTCTCACCAATCATCTTGTCGCAGTGTATTCCTGAAGGAGTTGGAGGTGGGTGCCATATGAAAGCTCGATTTTAACAATGTGCAATGGTTTTATTATTCAACCAATCAACACTCTTCTAGTTTAACAGCAGAATACGAAAAAACAGTGAGGTGAAACCTCGTTTGTATGTTTGTCCATGTGTCAGCTCGTGTACCACAAATTCCTATTGCTATTTATTAAGAGCAAACACACCAAAACCATGTGAGAATCCTCAAGCCTGATGTCAGCTTTTAAGTCACCCGATGTTTTGCCTTCAACCCAAGCTCATAATCAGATGAACTTCGTAACTTCAAAGCTGATCTGAAGGAGCTTGGCTGTTTAGAGAGAAGGGAAGGGCGCGGGAACCTTCATCGCGTGCAAAGTCAGATGTGTGGAAATCAATATAATTGCCTTCCAGGCCCAGACTGAAACAAATTTTACAAGTCTGTAACCAAAAAGAAAATTTCAGACTTTGGAAATAAGAACCGTGCGAAACCAAAAACAAATCAGCCCGCATCCCTTTCATTCTAACCTATGAAGAATCATTAAAGTCACGCAAGTGGAGAGCAAGCAAAACCACGAAATCGATATTTTTAAAGATTATTTAATTAGCAGTGCTTTTTGGTAAAGCAAGGTTCTGCAGAGGTGTTTTATCAAATAGTAGAATTTAAATACCCCTTCTATATTTGTCCTTAGGCGAGGTGGGATTACTTAGAAGTGTTCGGTAGTTTGAAAATGCTTGCCGTTCGTTGACAAGACTTTCGATTCTTCCTCATTCGAGGGTTGCGTGCGAACAAGTTGATGAAAAGGAAGCCGGTTGTTTTCTTGGTACAGGACTATTTCAGTTTACCACCAAAACGAATGAACGAACTGTAGAGGGACTGGCTGTTTTATTAGCGGTTTCGAATTTACATCACCGCGACATTATTGTTATTCTGGTTTGCCTTCCATCGTATTATCACGCTTAATAACAATTAGCAATAATAATAACTAATAGACTTGTTTCTGAGACTAAACCATCATGCCGTGATCATACATAGGCGTCTATGGTTAATTTGGTTGATATGGTTAATTTACGGCCAGGTCTTGGTCTTCTCGGTGAACTACAATGTGCTCCATTAGCGGATCCACCATATGGTGAGTTGACATATTCGGAGCCAGCTACGCCCTCGTACCCGTCGCGAACAATTGCTACATTGGTGTGTAATCTGGGATTTATAGCAAGCGGAGCGGTTGAATCGACATGTATTAATGGTACCAATTTTGTTTTCGCTTATTAATGTCCACATTTTTTAATACGTCTTATTTGCGATTGATAAGACAAGCGCGTTAACGCTGTTATACAGAGCAACTTCCTTTTTTCATCGGAAAACATGTTATGTTTTTGAAAAACTGCTCTATTTTCTAGGAGAATTCTGGCTACGCGTTTCTTTTATATATTTTGAGAACTGTGTTTAATGCGTTCCAGGACAATGGCAGCCACCTGCAATGGGAGTTTGCCAACAGAGCTTTGGCGGCCTCGGCCTTGGACCACTGTCTCCAATGTCCAGCCAGTGCATGTTTGAAATACCTGCTGTAGCTAATGGACAAATCCGATATTCCACGGTAAGAATTTTTTTTTTTTTTGTAAACTGTGTGTAAAAGTAAAGAGCTAATGTGAAGACGTAGGGACCGAAGGCAGATATTCTCATATACTTATCGCCTCCGAAGTAAGTCCCGCATGGAATGTCATTCGTTCTCCCTGGTTGAATGTAGCAGCAGCTTCTTCGCCTTCTTTCTTTCTTGACCCCCATTCCCTTTGCTCTTCACCTCTGTTTTACCTCTTCTGGTTCGAAACAATCTTGTAGCTTTCCTTGTACGAACCACAAA